CATACCGATGAGCCGTCTGGAAGCAGATATATAAAGGAATTTTCTGATGGCTTAGTTGGATAAAATTTGGGTCATACGGGGTCAAGTCAGGTCAAGTCGGTCACCCTGGTCACACTGGGTCAGGCCAGGTCACCTTCGGTCAGGCCAGGTCGTATAGGTCACCACGTCACATTGGATCGGCCTGTACCACACTTCTACTAATTCTACCCATACCACTACTCCTACCACTACCCCTACCACTACCCCTACCACTACCCCTACCACTACCCCTACCCCTACCAATACCCCTACCACTACTCCTACCACTACCCCTACCACTACCTCTACCACTACCCCTACCACTACCGGCACTACCCCTACCACTACCCCTACTACTACCACTACCCCTACTTCTACCCCTACCACTACTACTACCCCTACCACTACCACTACCCTACTACTACCCCTACTACTACCCCTACTACTACCCCTACCACTACCCCTACGACTACCCCTACTACTACCCCTAACACTACCCCTACCACTACCCTTAACCCTCGCCCGCACATGGGGGGGGTGGTTGCCACCCCCCCAGGTAGTCTTTCTGCTCTGCACTCAACATTTTTAGAGCTAGAAGGCTGATTTTTCGTATAGCTGCTCCTCTATCCTTTCTTGATGTCCACTGAAAATTTCAAGTTTCTGTGACCTTTGGTTTCGGAGATATGACCTTGTTTTTCAGGTCATGTCATGACCCAAATGGCCAATTCTCGACATCTTGCGTTGGCTATGGGCCTTGTGAGCTTTTGACACCTTGATTTCGGCCTTTTTTACCAGTCTTACCTCCCACCCATCATGGAACATGTTGTTCGACGATGTACAGATGTCAAGGTCAAGGTCAAGGTCAACCTAGGTCATCTAAGATAATTGCGTTTTAGGCAAGCGGAATTTACTTTTTGTGAAGTTTTTTGACTGCATTTTTGGTAAAAGCTTCTCAGATCATGATTTCATGTAATATGGACACATAAACAATCGGTGCACACATCAGTATACACACAGACACACACAGACATACAAACACATATAATTGACCTTGACCTAACTTGACCTGAAATGACCTCAGCAGCAAAAACCTGGTCGGGTAGTGTGAGAAAGAGGTTCTAGCTGGCTTGGCACCAGAAAACGGCATCGTTATCGGTATATGATAAGCAGCGCACTTGATATCCAACGGTGACCCAAAACAGCAACATTTTTTAGTTTGACCTGACCTGGAAGGTCAATGACTGACCTGAGAAGGTAAAACTGGGTATCATTGGATTCGTCTCTTCCCAAAGAATCTTTTTGGTCTTTACCGCTAAGCTCTATCTCCAACAGGAACGAAATGGCGCGGGGGGGTGGCAACCACCCCCCCCCCCATGTGCGTTCTAGGATGGGAAAATGGCATGTGCGGGCGAGGGTTAATACTACCACTACCCCTAACGCTACTCCTACCAATACTACTACCACTTCACTACCACCACTACCACTGGGTCATGTGAGGTCACAGATTATCATTTAAACTGATGAACTAAAAAAAGAGTTCCTTACCGTGCTCCTGCTCGTGTAATTCCATTATTCTTAATCATATTTGGTGGAAATAGCGCCTTGTGACGAATGTGGCGCGTTGCGACAAACGTGGCGCATTTGTACCTGTTATTTTGCCATGCATCCTTCCACCGCATTGCACCTTTATCGGACCATATTTGACAAAGATTTGCGGTTAGCGACAAAAATGGCGCCTTGTGACAAACGTGGCGCATTGCGTCAAACGCGGTGCATTTGTGTTAGCGTATTAAGAACTGTCTTTATTTACCAAAAATCAACATCTTCATTCGCCTCTGTTATTCAAAATAAATAAGCTGTCAATCTGCAAATGAGAGGCACCCGCCGCCGATCGTCATGCATTTTAGTTGCAAAATCCATTGAACCCGGCTGCCGATGCCTTGAAGACTGAGCAACTTTGTGAGGAAATACGCACTTTTCCAGGGCGTGCCACGTGCGAACCATCCACCCCCCGAGACTCGAACCTCGACACTGCACGTGCCCGTGACGTCATCAACACCGTGCGAAAATTTCAGCCCCCTCGACCGCACCGTTTGACCTGTGCACGGCGTCAAAGCACACCTCTGCACGGTGCAAACAGACAGACAGACAGAGTTTCATTTCACAAATAGTATAGTAGATTAAAATGAAGTTACTGCAGCAGCAGCACGATACTCATTTGCTGCAACAGCTGCTCGGCAGACTGGCTCGGTCGCCCCAGCCGGCTATACATTCGCTGGCATTACAAGACAAATGCTGGAATTAACGCCAGACGTTTAATATTGTTTCGCCGGTGATTTGATATTCCTCGTCCATGACGCCAGCTTACAAACAGCTCACTCAGTGTCAACTTCGGTTTCATTGGATGTAAAGTAAATCTGCATGGGCGCCTTATTTATTTCCACTGGGGCTTTTAAAAAATTACACATCGTTTATCTATAGGACACCCAGCTCATCTGACACTGGTTATACAATCAATTACTAATTTTGCCTGGAGTAGTTGTTAGAGCCTGGCGGCAGGCGCCTGGCCATTCTGCTATAAGCAGTAAGCGTATTTCTTGCTGGTCCTTGATACAGCTCAGGTCGGGCAGAGTGGTATCATTTCCACCCTCAGCCTCACCAGTATGGTCCCGTGGTGTAGATGCAGTGTCCCTGACCCGTGTGTCAGAGCTGGTGTCGATCCTATGATCCCGTGGTGTAGCCGCGGTGTCCCTGACCCGTGTGTCAGAGCTCGGGTCGATCCTATGGCCCCGTGGTGTAGATGCAGTGACCCTGACCCGTGTGTCAGAGCTCGGGTCGATCCTATGGCCCCGTGGTGTAGATGGAGTGTCCCTGACCCGTGTGTCAGAGCTGGGGTCGATCCTATGGTCCCGTGGTGTAGATGCAGTGACCCTGACCCATGCGTCAGCCAGCTCGGTCGATCCTGACCGCCAGATTAACACCACGGCGTATCCCCGGCTGCCGTCATTATGCCAATGTATGCGCGCTGGCCTGCTGGTGCGTGCGAGAAATGAGCCGCGTCCGACTGCGACCACCTTCCACATAACTACTGTATCATAATGAATGGCGTCAGATCTGTGCTACGGGTCATGCAGGAAAGGAGGTGACAGTATGCGTATCCGTAATGCTCACGTAGGCGTGCTCAGATGTACTAGACCGCTTTGTGAGATTTAATCGCTTCGATTTAATAGTCGACCGCTTAGATTTAATAATCGAAACGCGTCCATGCACTATTTGTTCCGTGTTTTTTCTACTTGTCTCTATCAATATACATCATAGCTTTATGTTTAATTGCTTTGTTGCTTTATTATGTAAATGTCCGTCTTTTTCCAATAGAATTAAAGGTTTGAATGAATTTACGGAAATTGCCAAATGATGAAGCGCTCACGGAAACCTCATTTCCTTACACTTTGTCGTCTAAATTCCATCATAAGGGCGGCGGAATTATCTAATGCCTCCGGCTATTAATTGCTGATCCGCAGACCGTGATCAAATTATAGCGCCGGACGGACCGGGACGGCCGCAGACAATGTGCAGTGACAACGCATCAGCGCCAACACGGCAATTGCCGTAGCCGACAGTGCGTTAAAGGCAACGCTGCAGACATCAATAGTATTAGTCAGTGGAATACATTACGCGACCGAACCTCGAATTACAAGTCCACGGGTAGTTGACCATGAAAAAGGAAAACCAAAACACTTTTATTTCAATTACCTGCCTAAACATCTTTTAGCCGACGACATTTCTGTTCTTTTTTTTTTGTTATCAGACAAGTATGACAAATTTTGTCTGAATGGATGAGGCGCTGTCCGTGGTTCGGGCACGAATGAAATAATGAAAATATCCACATTTTACGCTCTACGCATGCCATCCCATGTTCGACCTAAGCGACCGATATCATCACCTCTCATGGAACGAATCGACCACCACTCGTCACGCTAAGAGACAGACCTGCACACCTATCACCATAAGAGACCGACCCCGCTCCTGTCACCCACGCAATCGGTCCAGGATAAAAAGCAAATAAGTGTTCATTTCGCGGGTGAGCGCTCCGGCCGGGCCCGTTGGCGGCCGTACTGATGGCCCCATCAGGGTCCTCCGGACCGCTCCGGACTGCTCCGGACTGCTCCGGGCCGATCCCGGGTTCTGAGCGCATGCCGCTCACCCGGAGAGGGTCGGTCTGCTGACTCGGCGTGTCCTCTGCAGTGCCGTCTGTCATCTGTCGTCCCTTCTTTCTCCCTCCATCTGGCATGGACTATGACAGTCGGGGTTGGCATAAGCTCCATGGCCTCGAATCTTGTCTTGAGCGACAATTGTCCCAAGTTATGATCTGTCTTTCACATTTCGGTAAGAATGCCTTTGGAAGGTATTTGCAAATTCCTTTGAAGTTTACATCCTTCAACGACATCCGCTCAACATTATATCAAAACACGAATCTGCATCAGCTTATGCCCTTAACATAACTATTACATGTACTCTTTGACCTTTGTTTTGCTCCACTGAGGGCTACTCAGGATGCGCAAGCTGGCCAACATGCCTTTTTCTTTTCCGAAGATGATGATATAAATATGCGTGATAGTGTGCATATAATGTAAATATGCGTTGCTTACAGCTGAACATAAATTGGAGCCAACGCGCTTTTTATGCTTAACATGCAATTTTCGGTGAAAAATTCATTTCAAATGTTCCGTCTTTGTCATAATACTAATGTCATGTGCTTTATATCTTCGTTTTAAATCGCCCATAATGCATAATCCTTTTTGTCATTTTTTATATCGTTCAAATTTAGTCACACTGCTGTATTTCTTTCGTCCCCATTGATACGGACACACCCCTAGCCGGACACCATGTTACTCTTTGGTGTTGTACTTTCCTTCTTGGTACCGCACGCTGCTGCTTCCTCTGCTGCATCCATGCTGACTCCGCGACTGTGACCGTTGCAGGTCGTACCGTCGGTAGTGGCCAGCGTTCCCCGGACCGACAGTTCACGACCCCAGCGGCTTCACGAGATCGCTACTCCTCTCTGAGTGAGACCTGCCGGCTGTCACGGAAAAACTGCCGGACAATAGGTAACGCTGGAGTGGCGTCGGGTCACGGAAATCACACCATTTGGGTGTGTTTGAGTGAATGTGACGGCCATAACAGGTCTCCAGAGGCTGCCGAGTGGTTGGGATAGGTGGGGATTTTGGAGTTTGAGACGTGTTTTCAGCCATGACATGAGACGGTTCTCAAGAAACAGATGCCATGACAATTGATGTGTTTGTGGCCAGTTGTGTGCACATAGCGGGAGCAGATGAGGGATTTATAAATAGTCGTGCTCTCGAGTTTTTGAAGGTCAACTCTGTGTCGTACTTGTTGGAATGTTGCCCCGCTTCATTGTTCATGCGACGATGAAAGCGAACATCAAAGTATTCAATGTGCATAAGACGGGGATGTGAAAACATTGATGTGATGTACAGTTGATGGCTTGTTCTTTTGTTAAGTTAAAAATGCTGCAGTGTGAGTTTTATTATTTAAGCGAACAAATGCTCAGTGTTGTATTATTTGACTTTGTATTGCTGAATAGCGAAATCGGTTCCGTCTTATGCCTAGGACATTCAATAAAAATATGGCATCAGTTTTTGTGTACCGTGTGTTCTGTGTTTTTCTTTGATTTTTAGTTGATAACCCTGATGTTTTGCGTCGCTCACGTCATTAAATCATCATATAAATAAACGTCATTGTTGCCAATATCAGCTTATGTCGTCTTAGTTGACAAGCTTTTTTGTGAAAAATATTAGAAGACCGTATAAACGTCTTGTGGTGAGTCGAACATGCCTAATTAGTTTTATCTTAAATGCGTACCCACTACCCAGTGGCAGTACGCACACCATCATTCTAAGTATTTTGAGATCCTAACTTGACAGTTCACAGGGCTCTCATGTACCGCAAGAGTCTGAGAGTTTGTTTCGAGCCGGATGAGTGATGACCCCACATTTGAAATATACTAGGCCCAACGCGAGAACTATATTCAGCTGCGACCGCCAGCAGTAGTCGCGAGTGCTTGCTGCCAGCCTATTCACTCGCTGAATTGAATTCGGGCTTAAGCTCAGAGCTATTTTGCGTATGAATGCGGGACCAGGCAATGCATTCGTAACAGATAAAGGGGATGAAGGTGGCCTTCGGCTGAACAGAGCATCACTCAACAGGAATTTGTCACATTCAGGCTAAAGAGCACCGACTGAATTTGGCAATCCCCGGCCACAATCACCCGAATTTGGAGGTCAGCTGGATATCAACGGATACATATTCCATTCTATCGAAACACACAGCACACACACACGAATGCGAAACGAAATCAGGAGCGAATCCTGCGTGATCCAACTGCCAACTATGTCGATATTTTGGTCCGAACCTCTGCCGTATCAGTTGTTCCACGCTATATTTTTGGCTCTCTATCAAATTGACAGTTCATTTCGTTTAAAGATGCCGCGTCCGGACGGAATACTGAGCTTCTCTCCACGGCCTCTGTTTCGTTGGCAGGCTGCTGCGAAAAACAGAGACAGAAAATGGACCGCGACTCTAAGCGACCGGACTTACCACGTGACCGACTGCAGTAGTCACGTGGTTGGCTGTCACATGGTCACCGTGAGATCGAACGGGTGACTCGGCTTTTAAGTTAGAACCAGTTAGGAGTCAGAAGCAAACAAAAGCTTTCCACCAGTGCTGTTTGTTACAGTACGGATGGTAGGATAACGAATTGCATGCCCAAAGACATCGAGACTGCTTAGCTGTTTAGCAGCTAGTTCAGTGTGTAGGTAAGACGAATCAGTGTAGTTTGATGAAGTTAGCTCATAGATTCACAATCAACTGTGCCAGTGTCGCCAACTGATCTCCTTCATCACCCGGTTCGTGCGTCCGCAGTTCGTTCCGGCCACTGTCTCTATGGGACCCCCTCCCCATCAGACCGCCCTCTGCACTCATCAGCGGCTAATGGGGACCCGTTTTTACCCGGAGCTCCCCGTCTGGCGGTCGTTCGGACCACAGGGGAGGGGTAATGACCGGCATCGGTCACCGGTCCACAGCCCCGAACGACGGTGACCGGAGACCATGGCGATATGGTGACCCGAGTGACCCGAGGGAACGCAGTGACCTGAGTGACCCGAGAGAACGTAGTGACCTGAGTGACCCGAGAGACCCGAGCGGCCCGAGTGAACGCAATGACTCCAGCGCATACCTCAGTTGACTCGAGTTGTCATAATGGTGCAAGTGAGCAGGTCATCCGTTCTGCTAAACATTTGCCAGACAGAGGCGAGGCTGAGGTTCGGAGTGAGGATGGGGGGGGGGGGGGAGGGCTACATGTATAATCATGGTGGGCCTTTGCAATTTTTTTTCTGTGAGAAGTAAGATTTTAGATTACTCGGCCCGAAATTTGGTTTAATTTATTCCGTTGCATTAATGTTATATGGGCATTGGGTAGGGTTGTTGTATTTCCTACATGGGCGATTCTACCTGCTCGTGAGGTCAAAGTTTGATTGCGGTTAGCAGCAATTCGTCAATGCGGTTAACCGAGCCGTGGATTGATACGGACGAAAACTTTGTTATCTCCTCACAGTTTTTGTCATTAAAAGTTAGTTTTCCGGTCACATACTGCATCCTAGTTCGGCCAATGGGATCAGCTAAGAGTCCCAAAAAATCACGGGCACTATCTGTTCGCGGCATTCTTCCAAGACTAACATTTAGGCCACGCTCCCGAGCCAAAAGCCCGCCTTGAAGAATGGTTTTCGATTTCCACATCAGCTTTCATGTAAACAACGTAAACAAAGCAGAAAGTATTAAAGTTTGGCCGGCGTCTGGACCGGCCGAGGCGGCTGCCCATCCGAGCGCGCAGTCCACGCGGCGATAAACAATCGGTTCCGACGCAATATAGGGCGATCAGCACCGACCCATCGACCGTGAAATATTCATACAGAAATGGCGCTCCCGGCGGAGACGGGTTGTCTCTCGCTGAAACGGCTGTCAAGGGGTGATGCGACCCAGCGACCCCGACCCGTCACAGATAGGTCGAAAGGGAGAGCGTGATCGACGATACTAAAAACGGCTTGGAGCTAAATGCTCTCTGCTCACCGTTGTCGAGTGTTATCTACATGTGCTCGTCCTCTGCGCTCTACAATAAGAAATGGGAAAATATTTCTAGTTTTAAAGAGCATGAAGTCCTCTCCTTGAGATAATTGTTAGGATTTTAGGGGCACCTGGGCTGCCTTGGTCACTCGCGCTGCCAGTCCGCTCCCAAGAACAATCATCGCAGCTGTATCCCTGGAATCCGCCTTTTGGCGGCACTCTACTGCAGCCCTACTGACCACCGCCAGCCGACCGAGCCAGTGCAGTGGAGAGCTCTGAGCTGGCCCGCGGCGACAAAATCCCCGCTTTATCGCCACTAGCTCGCGAAATCATAACACTCCGGCGGCGTCCGTCGAAAGACAATGTCCCGCCACGACTGCTTCAGCTGTAATCTGGCACTCAGACGCCAGTTTAGCCGTATAACTTTGCCACTAATCCCATCACTGGCACCCGCTTAAACGGCTCTCTGGTTCCTCAAACCTCCGTCCTCTTATAGTATATCATCTCTCACTCTGTCTCTCGCCTGTTTCTCCTTGTGTTTTCTTTCTGCTGTGCCTTTGTCTTTATCCCTCTCCTTTGCCTTTTTCTCTATCCTTTTCTCCTTTTCTTTCTCTTTCCTCTCTCTCTCTCTCTCTCTCTTCTCTCTCTCTCTCTCTCTCTCTCTCTCTCTCTCTCTCTCTCTCTCTCTCTCTCTCTCTCTCTCTCTCTCATTCTCACTCTCTTCTTCCCTTTCCCAGAAATCATCCACCAATTACACGTTTCCCGTAACTACTTCTCAGTTTCCTCTCACTCCTCCTTTTTTCTCCCCGCGTAACAGCGTGTCGCCCTCTTTGCTCTATTCCCGTCCCAGTAACAATACACGCCGACTGGCGGAGCGACAGCTCCCACAACGATCCATGGTGGACCTTCGCGACCTGCCGACGTCCTCGTATATTGGAATAATGCCTGCGGCGCGCCGGTCGGGAGCGGTCGACCCGCCGGCGCCACCCCAGGTCATGCGACCTTCCCACCGTCGACAGGGGGGGGGGGGGAGGGGGCCGGATGGAGCGGATCGACAGCAGGACAACGGCGCTGGGTCGGTCGACAGCGAACGGCTGAGAGAATGGGTCAACAGCTGGAGAGAGGAGCAGAGAGCGCTAGCAGAGGGGTAGAGAGAGAAAGAGTGGGGAGAGGGAGAGAAAAAGAGAGAGGAGAGAGAGCAAGATAGAGAGGAGAGAGAAAGAGAGATAGAAAAAGAGAGAGAGAGAAAGAGAGAGAGAGAGAGAAAGAAAAAGAGAGAGAGAGAGAGAGAGAGAGAGAGAGAGAGAGAGAGAGAGAGAGAGAGAGAGAGAGAGAGAGAGAGAGAGAGAGAGAGAGAGAGAGAGAGAGAGAGAGAGAGAGAGAGAGAGAGAGAGAGAGAGAGAGGGCTCGGAGGGCGGCAGTTGATGAATTGGATCGTCCGGTATAGAAAACGAACTGACAGAACGGCCATGCAATGGCAATGAGCTCGGGACTAGAGGTGGCAAAAGATGAAAATTTTGGGAACCAGACTCGAACCAGACCCGGCTGGACATTTCTGAAACCAGTCGGACCCGGTCTTAGTTGGAACCGGAACCAGTTGGACCCGTTCCCCAAAAGTCAATTAATTCAAACTACTTGTAGGTATCATTAGTTGCATCATTTAAAACAGCCTATTTCTCACTGGGAATTCTCAAGAGCTACTGTGTGCCAAGAAACATTCACTTCATTCACTTCATATTTTGCAATAATGTGTAGTGTGCAAGATGTATAGTTCATGGTAGGACCCGGTTGGACCCGTCAGAAAATTTCCAGGAACCGGTCTGGACCCATATGGGTCCAGACTGGTTCTTTGGACCGGGTCCCCGGGTCCACATTTTGCCACCTCTACTCGGGACTGGCGAACACACGGTCATCGGGACGGAAGAGCATACCAGCGCCGCTAAGTAGGAACGAAGTGCGACCCGTCACTGCAGTCGGCAAATGCGTTCGACGGCCGACACTGTCACAAATCCTGTTCGCCGTACCGTGCTGACACCGTGACACAGGCTGCTGACACCGTGACACGTTCTGCTGACACAGAGGTCGCCAGCACGGCACGGCTCGCCCCATTGGCTGTGACGGGGACATCTTGCCGGGCGGCGGTGGCGCAGGACAGCCGCGTGGCGCGGCGCTGAACGGTGGCTGACCGGCACGCGACCCCTGCACTGGCGACCTTTACTGCGCTGACCGGCGGACGTGCTGCTGGCTTCTGGCGTCTGGCAGAGGCGCGCCCAGGGTAACGGTCACCGCTCGTTTGTCACGGCAATGTGACACTATTGACCGCCTCGTGATGGAGGGAGTGTGTATGGAAATGCGCCGCCGCCTTTATCAGCCGTGATCGATGACTGGTGTGACGGCTGGGCCTCTTGCCCGCTGTGCAGCGCGCGGCCGCTCAAATCACAGAAGACTGGCCGCGGACCGTGACCTGCACGGCTGAGCGTCCCGAGCGTGCAAAGGTCAGAGAGGACCGACTTGCAGGGTATTTATGGTGGATGGCTTCATTCGGACCTGTCCGCACGAACGGCCGACGAGGTTCCAGTGGAATGATTGTTCATGCTATTTAACGACGGTATTTCTGTCTTGAGAACTTC